GCCAGGCCGCCCTAGCAACAGCACTCGGCGCCCTCCAGGTCCCTGACAAGTGAGCTGCGGCAGCCACCGCCACGCGGTCGTCCACTGTGCAGAACAGCTACAGGTAGGGACTGGTTAGCAGTGGCGAGAATGAACTACAGTTCGCCTGGCCGGGCACGTGCTCACGAACACACCGCCGACCCCTTAAGTGCCTGGTACTCGGTGTTCACGCAGACGTTCCGTGACGTTTCCTAGGGCACCCGGGTCGGTGACTGCCTCCTGAGCCTCGCCACTTTTTTAATTAATTAATTAATTAATTAATTAATTTAGGCAACCCTCGGTTGACCTCACAAATTGCAAGGACCTTGTCAGCTTACAATCCCTTATTTTTAAATATTTTTTTATGCCTACAGCACCTGGTCTTCCTAGGTGGTCTCCCATCCGAGTACTCACCAGGCCCGACCCTGCTTAGCTTCCGAGATCAGACCGGATCGGGCACGTTCAGGGTGGCGTGGCCGTCGACAGCGCGCCAGTGTTGGATGGAGGCGCGGTCGGGAGCTCTGTGGAGATGGTCAGGGCCACGGCGGGACTTGTGCCCTCGGCCAGAGACCGGGACAGAGAGTGAGGCTGGACGTCCTCCTCGCGTTTGATGAACTGGACTCAAGGACGGCCCCTGTGGCTTTCCCAGGGCCGCCAGCTCCTTCCTGACCCTTAACTAGCTGCTGTGGGGAGTGGAGTGCTGAGCGAGCCGCAGCCTGGGGGGCTCATTGAGGCGAGTGCCCCATGGCCGGCACTGAGGCCACTGTCGGGCTGCCCAGGCCTTACGCCAGCAGCGCGTGTGGAGACCACAGAAGCCCAGCGAGCTCGCGGCCAGCAGCGGCTGCCGCCGGAGGCCCGGGAGTCAGGAGGCTGAAGGCAGCGGAGGGGGTGTCCCGGCCGAGTGCTGCATTGCACATCCTCTCTTGGATGCAGAACGTAGCTCAGCTCTTCAGACGAATCTGCATCCTCCTTCCCTCCTTAGACTGAAAGGCCTCTGGGGTTCGGGTCCCTTCTCCTGGTCTTGGCACTCCAGATCGGTTCCGTCCTGGCTAGTGCTCGAGATGATGTAGTATCTTAAAGTTTGTTTTTCTTTGAGATTTTGCACAAGAGGTGAATAATATGCTTTGGAGGTGCTTTTGGCCTCTGAAGCCTAGAATTCCGGAACAATCGGAAGACGTGGACCTGACTCATCGGAGCAGACACCGGGTCCGGGGTGGGGGCCTGTGATGAATTGGGTCATTAGCGAAACAGACCCCAGGGAACAGGCAAGAGGACGGAGCATCAGGAGAGAGGAGAGAAGGGAGCCAGAGGGGTTTCTGGGGACTAGACGAGGCATTAATCAACCTCGGGCGGATTTTCTTTGCAGACGTTTGGAAGGAAACGGCTTGATCTGGGCGAAGAAGGTAGATATTGAATTATATCTGGTAAACCTTAAGGCCTGTGTTTCCTCAGGCCGACGCGCCCCTCGCTTCCCCGCCCAGCCGGTCCCCTGCGCCGCCTCGAGGAACGCGGGGTGAGGGGCCGTGGCTGCCCCCGGCCCCTTTGGCGCTCGGCTGCCGGCAGATGGATGGCCAAGCCAAGGCCCGACCTACGGCTCTGCGGCCCATGCTTTCCGGCCCGGAAGAGGCCATTTTTGATCACTGCAAAGACAGGAACAGTCTTTCTTTAAGATGGATGTCCCAGCGGCGGCTACGAAAACTTCAAGGTCATGGGAGGAGACGCCGGACGGCATTTGCGATGTGAGCAAAAATGGCGGCCTGAACCAACCAGCCACCAAGAAAGAGACAGGAGAGAAGCGTGTGGTTTAGTGCACAGAGCCCTGGGCCCCCGGCCACTGGTGTGTGCAGGTCTGTCGCCTGCCCACGCGGGAGGGGACGCTCCCTCCTTCCACCGTGATGCCGCGTGAGGAGACTCAGGCTGGAATCTGTCACATGATGTCGTCCTCCTTAGACTTTTAGCCAAAGAACACGATCGTCTTTGTTAGATCTCGACAGCTTCGTTTTTAAAGGGCCCGTGGTGTTGTCAGACAACAGAAAGTAGTCAATGCAAGGTCAAGAATAATGCTCTAGACCCTTCAAATGAAGAATGCCCTTCCTTGTCCCATGAAGAGAGCTTCAAAACAGATGTAGGAAAAAGCAGAGGCAGAGGGAGCACGAGAGAGGAAGCCTGACTAAGGGCAGCGAGCGGGGGAAGGCTCCGGAAAGCCGGAGCAGGGGCCCTGCGCCGACTCGCATCTCCGTGCCCACCCCTCCCTTGGCTGGACCACAAACCCTGCGCCCCTGAACCCTGGCGGGGCCGCGTGAGTCCTTCTGGCCAATGTAACATGGGCGGGCCTCTCTGGACCTGGTCCCCACAACCTCCCGAGAGCCTCCGCACCGTCCTCCTCTCTTCTCCTTTGATGCGAAGGGCCCAGCGGAGAGCTCGGAGGCCCCAGGCGATGGAGAAGCCGCTAGATGGAGGGAGAAATAACCGGGACCACAGTTCTCGCGTATCTTTTGTATAAGGTGAGTTGATGAAGCCAGGACCATGACTTATCCAGACGGGAAGAGCGCGCGTCGAGAAAGGAGTGGCTAGTCAGCCGGGGGCTCACGACGCGCGGGAGGAGGGGACTGTCCCTCCAGCAAACACGCTGGCCAGGAGTTGAAGACAGGCCAGGATGGGCCACGCGTGCCTTCTGTCGGGCGGTGCTCCTGTGGCTGGAGAAGGCTTAACAGAAACCAAGCTGGAGCCAGTCGTCTTTATCATTATCATTAACGCCACACGCCACCAGGCCACCACTGCTGCCGTCTGCATTAGCACCTGCTGTCACCGTGGCCACCGTTTCCGACGCTGCCACCACCAAGGGAGGTGGAGACGGGCCCTCGACGAGCCCCGTCCGTGGGGCTCACATCCTGTGTAGCCCGCCGCCCCTGAGTCGGGCTGGCCCCGTGACTGGCTCTTGACTGGTCACATGTGGTGAAAGTGACCGTGTGACTTCCGAGGCTGGGTCACGAGAACCCTTTCGGCTCTGTGGGAACCTCCTGCGATGTTCGCTCTCGGGGCGCTTCCCCTTGGGGCTCGCGCTGTGCCGTGCAAGGCCACGTGCGGGGAGCAGGTGTCTGACAGCCAATGGCCAGCATCAGCTCCGTCACGGGCGGAGCCGCCCTGGATGTCACGTGCTGTCCGGGCTTCCGATGACAAGAGCCCCAGCTGACATCTGACTGGAGCACCCTGTGGCGCCTCGGGGAGAAGTCTCCAGCTGAGCCCAGAGGACCCTCAGAACCACGAGGGGAGTTTGTTATTCGGCCACTGGGGAGGTTGTTACTCAGCGGCGGGTGACAGGACACCTGCCAGCGGCACCGTCGCCGTCACCACCTGGCCTCTGCCCTCGGCCAGGCCCGCGCTCTGCTGCTGGCACAGAGCCAGGCGTTCCGCCCGCCGTCAACGACAAGGTCACACGGCCCTGTGAACCAGCCACTCGGAGGCGGAGCGTGGCTCAGAGGTCGGCTGGGTGGCCAGGCCATCCTGCCCCTCGGCGGCGGGGCCGGGATCCAGAGCCGGGGCTCGTCAGAGCCCACGGCCCGCGGCTCTCTCGATGCCACGTGCGCCGCCTCTCACGGCCCCTGTTCTGTGTCGTTCCCGTCTAAAAATACGTTTCAAAAGAAGTGGCGTTTGAGTCCATCTAGTCAAGAAGCAAAAAGCTGAAAAAGCAAGCTCCTTTCGTACTCAAGTCAGTCGACATGCCCCTGGACTCATACTTTGAGGCTGAAAAAATAAGAAAAACTCAACCCAGTGAGAAGAAATGGCATCGTGTGAGCAAGACGCCATCACCACAGGCCGAGATGAGTGATCTGCTCTTCCCATCAAAAGAAAAATCTGCACTGGCAGGGGCTACTGTCACCTTCGGGGCCAAAAATAATCATCCCTATCCATTTTCCTTTGGTCTTGGGTAGAAAGAAATATGTTAACAGCGGAGCAGAGATGTGTTTTCCTCTTGGGACCTAGTGGTTTACGTTTACGGCACTGAGCTTGGCTGCCGTCCAAGTACACACACCCTCCAGTGCACGGACTCCACTTATGTTCCCTGGTCATCGTGGGGTGACGAGGGCCACCTCTCCGGCTTCATGCACCTGCAAGGCAGCACCTGACACCCAGCCTCAGTTACTGCGCGCGGGGAGGGTCGGGGGCCCGGGGTACTCGCCGTATCTGGAAGCGTAGTCTGGCCTGGGAACCAAGATGATTTTTTGGTAAACTCTGCAAAAAGATTGGAGTTCGGCATCGAAAGGACGGCGTGTGGTCCCCACGATCAGAATCCTGTCGTTGGGTTTCAGGAGCTTCAGAATTTTTGGAAGCTGTTTTTTTAGGCGTTTAGGTTCCATCTGGGAGAAAGAGAGAAGAAAAATAAAAAACCATGAGCCCACACACATAGAGAAAAGAGAGATTTCAAAACACTGAAAAACACCATTTCTTCAGGTTAGTCCTGGGCCAGGGCTGGGGACCAGCTTCTGGCTTTAGGTGATTGTCCTTGCAGGCCCTTCCTGTCCTCGGCCTCCAGAGTCCAGATTTGGCAAGCGGGGAGGAAGGAAGCACCTGACGGAATGTTCTAGCACCTTGGCCCTGAGAACGGGAAGTTGCAGAGGACCTCCAAGCGGAAGGAAGCAGGCTGGGAGTGAGCGCTAGTTTGTGGGGCTCGGCGATCTCCGGAGCTGTTCTGAAGGTGAACTTAAGAGGCCCTCTGCTGACCGCCGTGACAGTGAGGGACCGAGGTCATGGCCGCCTGTTATGTAAGAGCATGACAGCTCTGTCTCTGAGGCGCTGGACACAGCTGGGACCTGTGTTATTTTGGTATAATCTCGGCACTAGTGAGGGAGAGGGACAGACGTCAGGTGAGGGGCCCCAGGGGGATACTTCCAGCCTGTGGGGTCAGATTTGGCCACATCGCCATAGCAACACGCAGCTTTAACTGAACCTCGCCTGGCACAGGAGCCAGGAGGCAGCCAGGGGAGGAGAAGGATGTAGGGGTGACAGAGAGCCTCCTCAGGGACACCCAGGCACGATCTTGGCCATTTTTGGTCCCACTCGGTTCAGGGGCGATTGAGCAGGTTAGAATCCGGACGCTGAGCCAGAGAGCTAAAGAGCAGCCTGTGGTCGCCTGTAGAGACCGGGCACCTGTTGCTTAGCTCCGTGAGTCCTTGCGCACCCGGCCGGGAGGGGCCGGCGACATCTAGGGAAGGGCGTGAGCATTCGATACATTCCACCCTGAGGAATACAAGCAAAAGGCTTGTACTGGAGTCACACCTGGCGGGCAGGGTGACAGAGCCGTGTACGACTAGCAGAGCCTTTGGGACAGTGACACTCATGTCTTGGGACCCTGTTCGGCGGGAGGCCCTTGGCTCGGCCCAGTCTCCCAGAGTCTGGTCCCGCAGAGTTGGGGTGCCAAGCAGAGGGGCTGAGAAGACCCCTTCCAGAGAGGGCCAGGGGCCCCCCGGGGTGGGTGGCTGGACCCGGCTCTGAAGCACGGGGCATCCGCTGGAGCTGAGAGGCTGTTGGCCACGTGGCGGCTGCACCGGAGGCTCGCCTTCTTCCCTCGTCCCGTGGAAAGGCCCGTCCCCGTGGGGCTTGACGGTGCAGGAGGGGCACCTGGCGAGGACGAGGCCGTTGAGAGGAGAGCCTGATGGGAAGCTGCAGAATCCTGGGGGAGCTCTGGCTCCAACGGGCGAGAGACGGGGCGACCCTGACCTCCAAGGGCAAGATCGCGCCATTTGCAAACAGAGCGAGTTTTACTTCTTCCTTTCCAATATGGATGACTCTTACTTCATTCACTTTCTTCCCTGACTGGCCTGGTGAGAAACGGCAACGTAACGATGCCCAGAAGAGGAAGTCTTAAGGGAGAAGCGCCCAGTCTTTCAAGTGTGTTAGCTGTGAATTTTTTTGTAGTTGTCCTTCATCAGGCTGAAGAGGTTCCCGTCTCTTC